GGAAGGAAATGCAGGGCTGAGGTAAGGTCCCACACATGAACCCTGCCTCTGGGAGAGCTGCCCCACCGTGGGGAGCTGTGCCCACAGTCAGTCATCACCGGATCCATAAATTAGTCCAAACACATGGAGCAAGTCACCTCCGCCTGGAACCTCCCTGCCAGCTTCCCTACAGCCATGGCTCCGGCTCCACTGCTCCTGGGGAACAGCAGCTACAAATAAGTTTAACTTTTCCTGGATGCAGGGGCAGGGCAGGGCAGAGCTGCCAGTGTACCAGACAGGGCCCCAAGCAGTGAGCCAGGGCAGGGGAATAGTTAACACGAGCCCTCCCTGCATGCACAGTCTCTGCAGGGTCTGGGGCTGCACTGGTTCTCCACCTTTTTACACTCAAGACATCTCTCATTAGACTCAAGGCGCCCCTCAGAAAAGGCCAGCTCTAGTTTAATTCCCTTTTTGAGTCTGGAAAAAGAATAGAGCAATTCTTCTGTTGCAAAGAACTCAGAAAGGCCGCAGCAGGCAAGACATCTCTAACATGTCTCTCCCCTACCTTGGGGGTCTTTAAGAGGAGGCTCGACATGCCCCTGACTGCGGTCATCTAACTCCAGCCCTCTTTCCTGCCCAGGGCAGGGGGTTGGACTCAATGATCTACTGAAGTCCCTTCGGACCCTAACACCTATGAATCTGAACACTGGATTTCTAGCTGAAAACTCTGGGTTTATCTTGCAACTCGTATCTGCATACGTAAGAACATTAACACGGTGTGGCACCCGCAACACCTGCCATGGCACCTTGGTTGAGAGTCAGTGTGTGTGTGTCAGGTCACATAGCAGCGAGTGGCTGAGCTGCGGGTCCTGCTCTGCAGTGAGCCGTTCTACCAGTGTCCCAGTACCCTGGCCTTCACCAGCCAGCTGGGAGTCATAGATGAATAGACAGTAAGGGCTGGAAGGGACCTCATAAGATCATCAAGTCCAGCCCCCCCACCATAGGCAGGAAGTCAGCTGGGATCAAGTGATCCCAGCAAAAAAAATCCAGATTTTTTTTTAAACATGTGCCAACTCAGCAGAGTGGGCAGGCACTGGCCCTGCTCCTCCTGGTCATGGCTGTCCTATCCCATGGCCTCATCCCAGAGCAGTGTCTCCTCCCAAGCAGCCTTTGGAGGAGCCCAGCCCCTCGGCTGTGATACTGAGGAGTTTCTGCACCCACTCCCCTCCTGGGCCCTTCCCTGTACAGTGGTAACTGCCCTTACTTAGGGTCACGCTCTGTGGCCTCGGCATCCAGCAGAGCAATGGCCGGGCTCCAGGGGCCTCCTCATGCTTGTGCTTTTCAGGAACAGGCTGAAAGAAGCAGTTCCTTCGCTTGGAAGGTGGATCCTCCATGCTCCCCCTCCCTTGACCCTGCTCATCTCCCTGTCCTTCTCCCCCCGGGAGAGTTGCTGTCCTCCCTCCCCCGTGAATGGCGCCCCTGGCTCCAGAGTGCCTTGTGCAGGGAGCTGGACCCGATGATCTTCCAAGGTCCCTTCCAGCCTTACAATCTATGAATCTATTAAATGGGTTTGGAATCCCCGGCCAGGGAGAGGAATGAGCTTCACCTCTGGGCTTTCCCCTGTGCCAAGGCAAGACCCACTGTCCCCAGGACAGGTGCCAAGCAAAGGCCCCGCAAGCACACGCCAGGCCCTGAAGCTCTGCCAAGAGAGTCCTCTGGGTCCCAGTTTCCTAGTAAGTGCTGCCCAAAGAAGCGGCTGTTCACATGTGGCTGAGCCTGGCCTCCTGCCAAGCCCCACATGAGCAAAACCCTTCCCACAACCCCAACCACTTCTGCTTGCTGCCACTTACATCTGGATACAAGAAACCTCTCCCCAGCCTGCCCTGTCCCTGCAGTCAGGGAGTGTCTAGGGCAGGGGGGGCAATTCCTTGTGCTGGAGGGAGTTTGGGTGAGCTGGGCCAGGCTGGGTCAGCAGCATCCCCACCCCCTGATCTCCCCAACTCCCTAAGTGCCCCCAGCCCACATACCTGCCCCCACATAAGGGCAGAGGAGCTGCTGCTCCTGTGCCTCGGGTGCTCACACAGGAGCCACCTCTGCTGTACAGAGGAGGACCTGCAGGCGGGGCCGGGACTGGGGCTAGCCCCGCTGCCCACCCTGACCCCCCACACCTCACTGGGGCAGGCAGCTTGGCTGCAAGTGGAGCCTGTCCACACGGCCACCCCTGCATGTGGGTCTGGGCCATGGGGGTTTCCTGCCCTGAACAAGGCAGCAAGCACAGCCCAACCCAGGGCTGCTTGCATGGGGTCTGTGTGTCGGGGCAGGTGCTCGTTTTGGGGAGCTGGAGCTGGGGCCTGGCAGGGGAGAGGCAGGCCCTGCTCCCGGGGCTGAGGAGTGGATGGGGGCCGGGCTGTGGGGGAACAGGGGGCCCAGTTGCAGACCACCTCCCTTGTGAGACTGGCCTCAGCCCCGGAGGGGCTACAAGAGCAGGGTCAGAGACAGATGCTTGTAACCCCACTCCTTCCTACGGCTGTTCTGGGAGAGGCACAACTGTGGCTCCTGCCTCCAGTCTGGAAAAGCAAAATCAAGGTCCCTGTGGTTGCTGCCCTCGGCCGAACCCCAGCTCACCCCAGCCCCTCAGCAAGGGGCGCCTTTTCTCTGCTCAGGTCTGGGAAGCCAAATGTTTCTCCATCCTTGGAGGTGTTGGTTGTAGCCGTGTTGGTCTAAGGACATGGGTAGACAAGGTCTTGGGGGTAAATCCAATATCTTTTATTACACCAAATAAATAGTTGGTCTAATAAAAGGAGCCCTGTCTCTGATCCTCTGGCTGCAATCTGCCAAGTGCTGCTGGCTCTGCAGCCAGGGCAGCCCCAGAGCCAACTGCTCGCTCCACAGAGCCCCGGGCAGGGTCATGCGTCTGGGCTGTGTGGACAACTGGAACCAAGCACAAGAGCCCACTGCTGAGTGCGGGTTACTGAGGGGGCTGGGGGCATTTCCCCACTGACTGCCCCCTCTCCCTGGGCTCAGCTGCCCCAGGGGCAAATCTCCATTCACCCCCAGGCAGTGCATCTGTTCCAGGGGTTTGCACTGGAGTCATGCACTGGGCCAAGAACACCCCATGCAGACAAGACCAGGTGCACTACTGGGACAATGGTCTTCTGCCCTCCAAGTATTGCACAATGAAGAGCGGGAAACACCAGGTCTCCCTGCAGAGCCTGCCCCATTCACAAGAGCAGGGTTCACCCACCCCACATTGCTGACCTGGGGCATCAAAGCCCCTTAAGGATGGACCTATCCATCTGCCCAGACCCAGGCACAGGTCTCCCAAGGCAGGCCCAGGACACTTGCTGGGCTCTGGGAAGCATGTGGGCACTGCATGGACAGAATAGACCAACCGTAGCAGAAGCAGCTGCTGCACAAGGCTCAGTGCCAGGGAGATCGACTGAGAATCCCAAAACACCCTGGGCCTGGGATCTCACATGGCTCAGAGACCAGCCCTGTCCAGGGCCCAGGACGTACAGAGTGTGCTGAGCTGGGAGCAGTGAGGGGTGAATGCAGCAGGGATGCACTGAATCTTGCTGGTCACAGGGACAAAGCCCACCTTCAGGGCACCAGGATGGTGGGAGCAGTGGCTGTAGCAAGCAAAGTTCTCCAAGGAGGGCTCTGGGGTCACTGATATGGGGTCAGGGTCACTCACCTGTGTGTCCTCGGGCTCTTCTGAACTCTGGAATCAAGCAGCAAAGAGAGAGGTGATAATTCACACAGCAGAGTCACTGCAGCATGACCCAGTGCAGACACTGGGACAAATCCTGCTGTCCTTACTTTCCCAAACGCCTGAAACTGCCCAGGAGCTGGGGCAAGATAAGAGTCAGGGCTGCAGTGTTTGGTCTCTGATCCCTGCGGCAGCCAATGGAGAACTGAGCCATTCCCAACACAGGGAGTCCCAGAGTGGGGGTCCCCAGGGCAGCTCAATCCTCAGCAGCCTGGCCCAGAAGAGGGGGCCCTGGTCTGTCTGGGTGAGGAAATCCCAGTGTCACATCCAGCAGCACTGTGGGGTTTGGAGTCACTGTGCAACTGTTGCTCTTCCCTGCCCTGATGTTTGGGGTCTCGGTTCTCAGCCTCCCCTTCTCAGCAGCCCCCACTTGGCCCCTCCATGTGTCTGGGCATTTGAGTCTCCAGCTGCTGACATCTCACAGTGACAGGTACAGACCTGGCTGTTTAGCAGCAGCTCTATATCCGCTCCAGGCCTCCTCCCCACAGAGCCTAGCTCTGCCCTGTCTCACCACTGACAAGGATGGGCAATGCTCTGACTGCCACACAGTAGTCGCCATTGGGGTCTTGATTTAACATTGGCACTGGTAAGGAGGAGTCCCAGAGCTCTTCCAGGTGCTGCCATTCCCCTAGAGAGCTGCTGAAGCTGGAAACTAATGCACAAACTGCCCGAGACCCCGGGGCTCAGCTGGGCTCAATTAGACATCCTCCCTGGAGGCCTGGGGCACTGAGGATCTGGCCCTGAATCCATCTGTGGTAATGTCTCAAGGGCTCTGGGGCAAGACTCTCCCGAAGGACTCTCCCGAAGGACCCACCCTTCTGCCGCGCTGGGGATGCACTTGTTGGGGCTCTCCTCCAACACAGCTTCCCCTGCAGGACCCTCTCCCCCTTCCCCTGCCTCTACCCCAGTACAATGAGACAGCAGCCCTGGAAGTGCCCCATACCCAGGAATCTCATCAGAACCTCCTGCGGCTTGCTCTCCCCAATTCTCCTGTCCTGCCCAGGGAACGTGGGGGCTGGATGCAGAGGCATCACCTCCTCAGCCCTGCAGAGAGACGTAGAGAGACACAGAGACCTGCAGAGAGACAGAGCAATTATTCTTCTCAGTCCTCAGCTCCAAGTTCCCACATCCACAAGGCCACAAGAGGAAATGGGTAGGAGCTCAGGCCACAGGGTAGAGCCTCTGACAGGCCAGTTGGGGGCTGCACAGCCTGCTGGCTCCCAGCCCTGGGGGCAGGAAGGTGATGTTTGTACTCGGGTTTCAAGCAGAGTTGCTCCAGCAGAGCTCAGGCAGCAAACCCTTCTTGTGCGGCCACAGCTCACACCAGCAAAGCAGCGCTGTTTCCTGTATGGCTTGTACCAGTGGGACTGTGCAGGGGTTGGAGATGTTCACACCCCTAACAGGCCCTGGCTTTGGCCCATCCACAGAGAAAATGCAGGCCAGGGAGTGGCAGCCTGAATGAGCCCCCTTAACGTGGCCTGACCACAGGCCTCTCTGAGGCATGGAGAGGCTGCTCCTGGACTAAGAGGGGCCCATTCTCCAGGCCCAGCTGCCCTCAGTCTCATTCCCAGTCTCCAAGGGGCCTGGTCACTGGTGAGGTCTTTGACCACAGACCCTATCCCACTGGGGCCTGGGGTAAAACATTTGGTTCCCTCCCCGCAAACCCTGAAGCCCCTCATGGGACAGACTTGCAGCCATTACAGAGGCCAGATCCCATCCAGGCCACCGGGAGGGGCTTATTCAGCTCAGGACTGTGGGGCAATCCCTTGCCCAAGCTGGGTCACAGGGTGGCAGCAGCAACCTGAGGGCCACAGGGATGGTGGAGGCTGGATCCAGAGCAGAGACTGCTCCACAGGTGAGAACTGGCAGCTGAGGCTGCAGCCTAGTCCTGGCCAATGCGTCAGGAGGGATGAAATTAAACCCAAACGTACCTGCTCACAGTGCTTCTGACACGCTGGAGGGGACAAGAAACAGAACAGAGAGTCACTGCCACAACCCAGCCCAGCCCATCCTTGTGCTACCAGAAGCACAACCCCTCTCACACCCGCTCCTCTGTGCTGGGACTAGGACAGGAGCAGCCTTTCACTGCCCTGCCCTGCCTCCCCAACTCCTGTCTTTTTCCAGCTCTAGTGCAGGAGGCCTTGCATGCGTGCATCCTGATGCACCCCCTATCCTGCATCAACCTAGGAGCTCCCTGGGACTCAGAAGCCATCACCTGTCTGGGCTGGGCACTGGGGCACATCTGACCCAGTCTCACCTGCAGGAGCTCAGGCGCTGGCTGCTGACACTTCCCCTCCAGCTCCGTGATCAGGGCGCTCAGGCGGGCATTTTCCTCCCTCCTCCTCACAATCTCCAAGCCCAGCTCTCCCAGCCAGGCCATCAAGAGTCACTTGTGTTCATCCAGGAGCTGGTGCAGTCCCTCACTCACACTCGGACAACACCAGCTGTCTCTCCAGCTCCGTCTGCCTCTGAGATGGGCAGGAAGACACAGGGCAGGGCAAGGCAAGAACAGAGATAGAGCAGGGTCAGGGGAGATGGCACCATGTCTTTTTGGGGTTGCACAGGGTGCCTCATTCCAGCCCTATAGGGCCCAGCTCAGGGTGTTTCTGGGGGGATGTGACCCCTGCACATCTGCGAGGGGAGCTCTCTGGCTGCAGTGGAGTTGCCACGTGCCAGGGCTTTGCAAGGCAGGACCCTGACCGAGCAGCACTGTCTCAAACTCATTCATGAATGAATTGTTTGTGGTCAAGGGGCTACTTGACTGCCCCAACTCATCCATAAATCCTCGTTAAGCTTTTTCTCAGCCAAGGACCCTGCCTGACCCCGAGGGATGCCCAGAGACCTCTCCAGGCCTGACCCCATCACCAGCAGAAACCTCTTACACCCCAGCCTAACCTCATTGAGTCCAGTACATGGGATGCAGTTACATTGATGGGCAGTGCGTGGGCAGCAGTTGGCAGCAGGACCGGATGCTGCTGTCCTTACCTCAGTCTAAACCTTCAGGATCCTCCCGATTTCAGTGCCTCCACTCCTGGTTTACACGAGGGAAGTGAGAGTGGAGTCGACCCTGCGGCATCTACCCCAACCCAAACCCTTTTGCTGCCTCAGCCCTGAAAATCTTTCCTCCCCTCCGAACTCCACAGGCACAGAGCAGCGGAGACCCCCGCCCTGCTACCACCGCTGCCTTCCCTGCGCCGAGCACCTACCAGGAGCTCTTCACTCTCCTGCTCCCATGCACATTTCAGCCCCTGCAGCTCCTCTCTCTGCTTCCTCAGGCTCTGGATTCGCTCCTGCAAAGACAGGAAATGGCTCTGGTGCCTGGTCTGGGTCCCTCGGTTTATGCCCTGCAGTAAAATCCTCCCTGCACAGAGTGAGGCTGTGAGAGCACTTCCCACAGGGCTGAGCCACAGAGCGAGCGACTCCAGCTGTAAGGGGACTCCCAGCCAGGGAGGTGGACCTGCCCTGTCCCTCCCAGACCCACTGTCTCCAGGCACGTGTCTGCACCCCAATCTCGGCAGCGGAGCTGACCCTAGGGGGCTGCAGGGCCCACGGCAAATCAACCTGTGTGGGGTCCCCTTAACACTGTGTGGGGCTGTGGTACAGGCACGTAGGTTGTAGCCATGTTGGTCTAAGGACACAGGCAGACAAGGTTCCTTGGGTGAATCTGATCACTTTTATTAGACCAACCCAAATAGTTGGAAAATAATTATTAAGCAAGCTTTCGGGTTCAAAAACCCTTTGTCAGGCTAAGGAAGTTTCAGCAGTTGGTGTGTGCTCTTCCTGGATGGGATGAAAAGTAAAGCAGACAGAGTCTGGGCTGGTCTGCACACAAGACAGGCGGTCAGGGAACATGTAGATTGAGGAGTCAATGGGTGAGAGACAGGCGGGGGGGGAGGAAGAGAGAAGGGGGATGAAAGCGGAGAGATACCTGGGGAGTCAGATGTCAGGCAGGTTATAATGTGTTATCAATCCAATGTCTATATTTAGTCCATGATTTTCAGTATCCAGGAGGTTGATGAAGTGGAGTTCATAGGCTTGTCTCTGGGAAGCGTTGTGTACGTTTCGTTTGAGGATCAGGACTGCAAGATTGGAGAGAGAGTGGTTTTCTTGTGAGAAATGTGCCCCACCAGTAATTGGGTATTCCTGCCTTTGATGGATTCCCGGTGTGCGTTCGTTCTGGTGCGCAGTTGTTGTTTGGTCTCCCCACGTATTTTCCATCAGGGCATTTGGTGCATTGGATGAGGTATATCACATTCCTGGAGGTGCAGCTGTAAGATCCTGGGATGCTGATGGCTCTGTTGTGGGGTGTAGTAATAGTGGGGG